CATGCCTGTAGTCCCAGCTACTCGGGAGGCTGAGGCAGGAGGATCGCTTGAGCCCAGGAGTTTGAGGTTGCTGTGAGCTAGGCTGACGCTACAGCACTCTAGCCCAGGCAACAGAGCGAGACTCTGTCTCAAAAAAAAAAAAATGTGCATGAAAATCAAAGTTTTGGATAACCAAATTATATTTAAAGGTATGAGGGAAACACACTACTAAGAAAGCCTAAGTTGTTTTATGGAAAGCAAAAGTTTTTATGAAAATTACCAGCGCTTAAGCTAGGTTTCCCACATACACAGTTTACCTAAAGGAACATTCTTATTCACATCTGCTAGAAAGCTTTCTAATTATCTTTCAAAAGGCCATATATTTCCAAATCCTAAGACATGCGCACCAATAACTACTTTCCACAACCAGCATGCTCACACAGTAGACAAAGCATGCTGAGTACTCTCCTTTTATCACACCAATAGTGTCTGGTTGGATTACAGCCAACAACAGGGCTCAAGTAGATTTATCTTTCCTGTAGATCCCGTAGTACATTTGCCTAATGCAGTGCCCTAGATTTTACAAATTACATTCACGGACGTACTTGCAAGTCTGCAGATTTGAACATTTTCAAGGAGGATGCAGACCTTTGTAAAAATTGTCTTGATCATCAACAAAGCACCAACTATTTTGAAGCCACAGACTATATTTTTGCTCTAATTTTAAATTTCTGTAAAGAATTTCTTGGCTTTTAGTAAAGTGGAGGTTGAGTCAATATGTTCATGTTCTATCTGCATTTACACTACACAGGAAGAACCCGCACATGCTAAAGATCTGTTTAAAAGCTTTTAAGGCCAAAAATTTCTATTGTGTGGCCATGATAGGCACTGACTAAAGGAAACTTGAAACTATAAATAGCACAGTAAACACCCATACAGGGGAGGAGGAATGTTTTGCTTGTAACAGCAAGAAAGGGGTTCACAATTCGACATAATGTCCATATTATATGAAAAAATTAGGAGCCAACAAAAAACTCCGACTCATGATTAAGAATGTGTCTTATCTTAATAAGAACTGAAAAGTTCTATATGCCCCTTGGCTACCATTTTTAAGGCATTTTCTCGCGACGCATCGGTGTTCGCTGCAAAGTGGCTCGGGTCTAACTCTCCATCACGAATGTCACAAAACCCAAAATGCAGTGGAATTTGGTTCAGTGTTGGTGCAGTCTAGGAGTGCCAAAAATCAACCTAGAGCAGGTACAGGGCAAAACTCCATCAGGTTTCCTCACTACCCCTGAGAATCACTGCTCCCCATACAAATAAGATCTTAAAAGCTCCAACCTGAAAAATACGTCAGACTTGCCAAATGTGTCTGTTAATAAAAGGTACTGCGACCACCTGTCCATGAGCAGGAAAGAAGTGGGTGGAAAATGGCTTCCCCGGGCAGACTGAAACGCAGTAGTAAATCACACGCAAATCTCTTCCCAGAGTAAGAGCTTTAAAACAAACATGTGCGGGGGACCCATTCACAGGAGGGTGGCGAGAGCCCCCGACCATTTCAACTCGGGATGCGAACGTGCGAAGGAGGGAACGCACAGCAAACCCGAGGAGCGCTGCGGGCATGCAGAATGGGTACGCCAAATCTGCAACCCTAACCACGGCGGCAGCAAAATATGCCCCGTCACCTCCACGACGGCTGTCCGCACCCGTCAAAACACAAAGCCCAACGGATTTTAAGAAGAAAGGAAAAGAAACACGTGCTGGCAAGATAAGACCGGAGTTCTTCTGCCTCCGAGTGCACTTTCACAGAGCCCGCGGAGCCCCACGGCGGCTGGCACCCGACTACCCGCACCGCCCGAGCGCTGACCGTGGGGCGCGCTCCTTCTCCAAGCGCCCCGGGTACGCCCATCACCCCCTGCCCCAGGGCCCCAAACTCCCGGCCTACCCCCGCCGAGGGTGGCGAGCTGCGGGAAACTGCGGACAGGCTCGCCCGGAGAATTAAGTTTCTAATAATATAACTTTAGGCGGATGAGCGCCGCCTCGCCCAACGCCGAGGCCGAACCAGGAGGCAACTCAGGGGCGTGAAAAGCCACGCGGGGGCGGGGGCCGGGGTCCCGGGGTCCCCCGCCCGGGCAGGTGCGCTCCCGTCCCGCGGCCGCGCTCACCAGGTTCCAGACGCCGAGCAGGATGGTGCCAGTGCGGACATGGCAGCACAGGCAGCAGCTGTTGGAGTAGAAACGCGTCCAGGGCGCGACCATCTTCATCGCTCCGACCGCGGGCGCAGTGGCGCGAGCGCGCGCCCAAGTTTTCAGGAGTGTCGCCCGCGTCGCCCAGTGCCCGCCGGGCCGCTGCTGCCGCCTCCTTAGCCGCTCCGGCTCCCGGCCTGCTCGCCCGCCCGCTGCCCGCCTCGCTTCGCGCTCCCCCGAGAGCTCCGAGCGGCTGCCGCGGCGGAACCCTGCGCTCTAGAGGCGACCGCGGCGCGGGACGGAGTCGGAGGGGGCGGGGCGGGCGGGGCACGTGACCTGCGTCCGGGCCCGTGACGTCACCGCGGATTCCAGCCAGCTGCGGGCGAGACGAGCCTTTGTAAATAAATACATCATCGTTGCACCCTCGGCCCGTCCCGGGGGCGGCCTGCAGTGGAATTCCAGGCCTTCCCTCTTTAATCCGGCCATTGGTGTAACTCTGTTACCTGTTCGAGACTCTTTTACTCTAGTTCGTTGTTTTTCTCCCCTCTACTCGTATGTTGCCGATAATCCGTAGGTGCAGTGCTATCACTGTTATCTTGCAAACTAGAGGAAGGAAAACTGCGCGGTGATTCCAGTCCACTGCAGTACTTTGAACCATCGCTGACGCCGCTTAGAGCAATTTATCTCCACCTCCCAGCTCAATTGCTGTGGTGGTAATTACTCTTTCCCAGAAAATCGGATGTGTGTCAAGGACATCCTCGCTGTGCTTCGGGTAGCATTTTTATCATGACTGTAGCGCTAAAGAAACAATTCTCTATCTCGAACCAATTGCTGACACAAGGTCTCTGTAAGACACAACACAGAGTGTTGAGAGATACTGAGAGATAGCACCGATTTGGAGTTTATGTCCTCTCAACTAGGGTTTTGTCTGGAAGCGCCCTTCTCCCACGTTAGCCTCTGACTAACTTCTACTAAAGCCAAGTATCTAATATAGTTTATTAGCAAGTATGAATTTTATTTCAGACTTGGAGCAAGAAAAAAAATGATTTGATCTAAATTTCTTAAGGACAGGTTATATAGGAAGAAAAATGTTAGTTAAGATTGTTCAAGTACAGAACTGGTTAGTTTTACGAGGCTTTAAAGCTTAAAGCTGTGACATTCTTTCTTATTTAATTTAATTTTATTTTATTTTATTGAGACAGGATCTCGCTCTGTCTAGAGTTCTGTGACATCATCATAGCTCCCTGCAACCTCAAACTCCTGGGCTGAAGCAATTCTCCTGCCTCAGCCTCCTCAGTAGCTGGGACTACAGGCAACACCACCACCTCTGGCTAATTTTTCTATTTTTTGTAGAGAAGGGGTCTCACTCTTGCTCAGGCTGGGCTATGACATTCTTATTGTGCAGCTTAATCCTGAATCCCAAAGAACCCAAGAGCCATCTCCAGAGATGTCACGTAAAGGCCCTTAATAAAAAATAAGTAAAATTACTGTGGGAGTTCATCAGAAATACCAAACAAGAAAGTTCAGGAGTTGTTTTTGTTTTGAGACAGGGTCTCACTGTGTGACCTGAGCTAGAATGAAGTGGTGTGATCATAGATCTAACCTCAAACTACTAGGCTCAAAAGATCTTCCTGGTGAAACCACCCTTCAGTAACATAAGGGAGTGCAAGGTGAGAACAGTGGTAAGGGCCTAGCTAAAAATAATGATTATAATTAATAACTGTCGCCCTGTAATTGCTACTCTGCCACCCAGCTGGTGATCATAAAGATTCTTAACTTTTCCCCATAGCTGGTGTGCATAAAGATTCTTAACTTTCTCCGTAGATAACGTCACCTTTTCTAAACCTAAAGGTAGTTTTTAAGATATCTTCTAGGCCCCACATTCCCGTGGATCCATTGGCCCACCCAGACCAGTGGCCCAAACCAAAAAACTGACTCAACTGGAATTGTGACCCCAGGGACTGGAACAACACAAAAAGATGATTTCTGCATCCCTATAATTTTGCCCCAGTTAACAAACCTAATTGCCTAATCCCTTGCCCATCAAACTATTCTTAAAAACCCTGTCTCCCAAGTTCTCAGGGAGGTAGATTTGAGAAATTTCTCCTGTCTCCCCGCTTAGCTCTATGTGGAATAAAAACTTACGGAGACCGCCGTAAAACCTGCTGGCTCAGCATATTGTCTTCTTCTTGGGCAGCAGGCAAATGAACCTGGTTGGGCAGCAACACTGATTCAGCATGCCCAATAGCTAGGGCGACAGGCTGTCCCACCATGCCTGGGTAATTTTTTTATTTTTAATTATTTTATTTTTATTTTGTTACGTTGCCCAGGCAGGTCTCAAACTCCTGGCCTCAAGGGATCCTCCTGCTTTTACCTCCCAAAGTACTAGGATTACTGGACTGAGCCACTGTGCCTGGCCAAAGCTCAGTTTTTATTTTGTGTTCTCACCACAAAATTCTAGTTTCTTTCACATTAGAGATAATTTTCTCTCTGGGCTGTGCCATTTAGTATTTAATTATGCCCACAGCCTCTTTTAATGAAATATGGGACAAGCATTAGTGCTCTGAGAAAGAATGGAACTATAGGATCACAATGATGAATGCTGCCTTGAAAGAGACTTTAGAAATTCAAACTCCCAAGAAGTTCCCATAGTTACTGCCCTCTCTTCCTTCCCCACCTGAATGTCATATTCATTAGGCAAAATGACTCATTGATTCAAGGGGATTTTAGATTTCAGAAAGCTTACTATTCAAGATCTGAATTTACAGTTGCCAAATTGCTCTAGATAAGAAAAGAGACAGAGACTAGAGGAAACCTAGCTGGAGAACAAAAGTAGGAAGAGAGAAAAATACCTTTGCAGATGAAGTGTATTAAATAAAATGAGTTGCATTTATTTGGATGTAAGAGTATGGAGACTGGGCTCAAAACAAGAACAGAGGCTTCCCAAGGAACTAAGTCACAGCTGGATTACTCTTTTCAAACAATGGCAATTTTAACTGGAATACTTAGTACAATTGTTTACAAAAGTCGCCTGGTTTTCATCCCTAGGAGCCTGAGCTTCTAGGGACCGCTCTTGCTCCTTTTCTGCTAGAGCAAAAGATGACAGCCTCCATAACGTCGGTCAGGTTGCCGAGGTTACTCACACCTCCTCTCCCAAGGTGCATTCCCTACCAAATTGTAAACACTTCTCACTTTTTGGACTTTAGAGCTTGCAGCCTCTTTGTCGCCCAGGGCCTTTCCTTTGTCTTCTTATACGCACAGCTTTTCAGTCCTTGTATCATCCCCTTACCTCCCCCTTCTGAGTTCAGGTATTTTTCGGTGAGTGGGGGGACATTTTTCTGTTAGATAAAGCCACTCTCCTTCCTTTTTCAAATCTCGTCTTTTCTATGACTAATCATATTTCAATCTCTCTGTTAGGTATTCAAACTACCCAAAGTTAATTTGAGTGCCTATCACGTATGAGAAATAATGGCTACAAAAATTAGAAACATTCAGTTCCTGACCCCGAAGTTGACCATCTAGCCTAGAGGCACTAGTTGCTAAGGTGTAAGTCAGAATTCTGCTGAATATCATTACAGGTAAAAAACACAACGCAGTAAGAATCCTGGGAGAGAGTAATTACATTACAATGTGGGGAGTTAGCATTTCAGTTGGATACTGTGAAGGGGAAACAGATCAGAAAAGGTGGGAGAAAAGACACTTCCTCCAGGAGTTGAATCAGGCCAGTGAGGCATTTGTGGTAGGAAAGGTCTCACTTCAGCTACCTCCATGACCTAGGCAGGGGTCTGCCCAAGAGAGACCTCAGGACCCCTCTAAAGGCTCAGAGACCAGCCTCGGCAAGAGTGAGACCCCGGTCTCTACCAAAAATAGAAAAAGTTAGCAGGGCATGGTGGCGCATGCCTGTAGTCCCAGCTACTCAAGAGGCTGAGGCAGGAGGATTGCTTGAGCCCAGGAGTCTGAGGTTGCAGTGAGCTATACTACTGCACTCTAGCCTGGGTGACATAGTGAGACTCTGTCTCCCAAAAAAAATTTAAATAAAAATTAGAAAAGAAAAAAAAAAGTGAAGCCTCAAAGAGCTACCATCTAGTTTTCCTGTGAAGGAACTCAAGGAATTTCAGACCAAAATATGACACCTTGGTATAAAGACTATTCTGAATTAAAGGCCCTGAGAGATCAACAGGCATTAGAAGGGACTTTCTCTCAATCTTCCTAAAAACCAGACAGACCCATCAAGAAGTGCCTTTCCTTCTGCTCCCAGTTATCTCAATATCAAGGAAAAAAGATCAAGAATGCAACCAGACCTGACCCAAACCATTTGAAACACAATACCTGTCTCTCAGGTTAATTTAATTTCCAAAGAGAATCCTTAGCAAGCCAATCTGTTTCCCCCAATCCATTCATTCTCCCAAGTATCTATTCATCCTCCCCAGTAATTATTTATTGCCTCTCCACAAAATTACCTATATTCCTCATCTCCCCCTGCCCCTCTAAAATGAGGGTATATAAACTTCTGAACTCCATTGGGATATTGAGTAATCCCTCTGTTACTTCTCCCCGTGCCCAGGGTCCCAGGGTAAATGAATTTGTAATCTTTCTCTTATCAGTCTGCCTTATTGTGAGTTGATCTTTCAGCAAATCTTCCTGGGACAAAGGGGAAGTTTTCCCTTCCCCCCAACACCTGGAAAGGAAAAAGGGAGGCAATGTCTTCCCTATATGTGTTGGAAAAGAAATCCATTTATAGGAAAAGAAATCCTTTTATAGTCCAGGCAAGATGGCTCACGCCTGTAATCCTAGCACTCTGGGAGGCCGAGGTGGGCGGATCATTTGAGCTCAGGAGCTGAGACCAGCCTGAGCAAGAGCGAGACCCCATCTCTACTAAAAATAGAAAGAAATTGGCCAAACAACTAAAAATAGAAAAAATTAG